GATTTATTTGATAGATAATTTTATGCAATTTATGTTTTAAATAATATATCGGACAAATGACCGCCGCGGCTCTTTTTGCAGACGATCACCCGCTCACGCCAATTTTCGATGACGCGGTGCACCATTTCGGCCGGTATGTCGGCTATGGCTCGTCGAATGTTGGTTTTTAGGTCACGAATTGTAGCTGCATTATTGCTGTACACTTTAGATTTAACGTAACCCCAAAGAAAATAGTCTAAAGGTGTTAAATCACAAGATCTTGGTGGCCAACTGATCGGTCCATTTCTCGAAATTAACGAATCACCAAACTTTCCACGCAATAATTCCATGTTCACGCGAGTAATGTGAGGTGGTGCACCGTCTTGTAGAAAATAAAGGTCGTCTGCATCAATATCATCAAATTCCGGAAAGAAATATTCGGTTAACATCGTTTTATAGCGCTCGCCATTCACAGTAACGGGGTTAAAGAAGTTTTGGACAAATTCCAAGCGTTGGTTTAAAGTGAAACGTGACATGATAAAATGGCAAACCTTACTGAAACACAAATGTCAAGAGACGTCAAAGATCCAACATCAAACATGACCACTATGACCTGTCAAAACCAGGTCATCCCTATTGGTAGACCCGTTAGTTAATTGAATGTGTATTGTAAGTTTTTTTTTAAACCCAAATTCAATTAGCCAAATGCTCCAAAAAGTTATATCATCCTATCTTCTTTGTTCGGCAGATTGACATTTTTATTGTCCTATCTTTTTTCTTTCAGGAGATTTACGATTTTGAGAAAAAAAACACACACCTTTAGGTGACCCGCTGCTCATTTGCCTAATATATCATAAAAAAACATGTTGGGAGGTATGTACATAACAGAACTGTTTAGAAATAAAACAAAAAAGTTTTCGTATTATCTTCATATTAACATGAAAAACATAACTTGTCATAAATAATATCATTTTATATTTAAAAATCGCAATGTCACAAATGAGCGCAATAAAAAGATATAGTACAACAGGCAGTATATACAAAAAAAAACTAAACCAAAATTATACACAGTGGAGAATAAAAAATATGTAAATAACTACTTGTCAATGTCTAATCTATCAGTCGTTTTAACATAATTTCTATATAATTTAACATAATAGATTTCTTTTTCTGTACCTGCTTGCTAACTAAACTACCACCTGCCTGGTATTACTTGGTCCTGACTATCCCCGAATGTTTAGTAATACCAATGTATTAATAAACTAGGTAATAATAATTATATTTGGTTGTTATTTGTCTTAACATACTTTACAACAGTAAAAAAATAACCACATACTTTTCAGTAAGGATGATATCAATTTAAATCATTATATTTATTCATTTCAATTTATACTAGTCGACCAAACATACCCAAGTATGCAAGTATTCTACATTTAAAAGAATAAACTTAAAAAGTATAAACAAACATAATAAAGTAGCAAATAATTTTACAGAAATACACATCAAACAAGTGAGCAAAAACAAATAAAGTTCATCAAGCCGAAACAGCTTCTTCAAACTTACGTTTTACAGACACATATACATTTTACAGTCGGGCACTAATTAACTTCAATTTTCATTTATATTAAATAATTATTATATTAAATGTACCGATGAAACTCAAGTAATCAACTATAATAAAGTTACAACATTTATATAAATATATTTTAGTATAATATTACATATAAATTGATATTAAATATTAGAAACATGCAAGTTAGATTTAGATCATGTCTAAATGGCAATAATATTAAGGCCAATTCCGAAAACCGATACTGATTGTTAACTAATATACATAAATATATAAGTATATATATGTATTTGGACTCGAGGATCATTTCCGAACGTATATATTCCTTAGACGTACACTAACGTCGCTGAATTACAACTCGTATCTGTAACTGAAAGTTTACTTAACTTATTGTTATTGGAAGGTTAAAAAGTAGTCAAATCCTTTTTATTTATACTATATTTCTTTTATATTCTTGCCACATCGCCAAACCCAAGCTGTCCAGTCCTTAGTTTGGGGGCTAGACATGTAATAATTGTCATGATTTTAGATTATAAGGATAGCCAGTAATCAGAAACAAACTGACGTTTTCGACTATTTCTCAACAAAAATAGATTATTGACAATATTATTTTCGTAAAACAAGTACCTATGTTAATAAGTAGCAAACATATTTATGCTTGCTATACCTTGACATTGGACAAACTAATAGACTCATAGCATAATAAAATAAAATAAATAAATAATAAAATAAGAAGTTGTTAAAACACGCTAAGCATCAGTTGTTGAAAAGAATCGTTTAAAAGACTATAGAAACTACTAATCCCGAATAGGCGCATATGTATTTTGGTATGAAGTAGATCGGAAAACAAATCTTTTTTTCTTACTTTTTAAGAACACAATTGATGGCTCATAACTGCTATTTTAGAAATACCATGAATGTTTTACATTCAATTCGAAGAATAGATTCGCTCTTACGTTTCACGGTTTATATCGTCCATTATAACGATAGATGTAAATTTATATAGTGGGCAAACATGTCTTCAGTTGCATTCTTAAATTAGATAATAGCCCATCAGCAAATAGATTTCTTTTTAATTATACAGCCTTGGTAACCTAGCTACTATGTAAGCCCCATAACATAAACATACTCTGTTTATCATTACTGCCTGAAAATGTGCAATTTAGAAATTTGTCTAAATTCAAAATTTAGTATTATCAATATGCAGGTGAAAGGCAACTTTCTTAGATGTTTTTTCATCCTATCTATTGATTACCATATTTTAATCCATCTAGGTGGTATAAATGTACATATCTATTAAATATAAAGGAACACTCACGCTTGGCCAAACATTACACGTGGCATGATGGACGTTTGTCAGGTACTGGATTATTCACAAGTAGTTAAAATGAAGAATTGGTGTTCTCTTCGAAACTTAACATACACGATCAACAAATCAAACTATTTCAAGGCATAAATTAAAGTATTAGTTATTTTATTTAAATGAACAAATAACGATTGACCAAAAAAAAATATCATTCCGTGATTATTTTTTTTCAAAAAAAGAATAAGCTGTTTATAAAAATACAAACTTTCGGGGGTGATATTCATATTTATTAACGACATTGGGAATGCCTGACTAATTTCGGACTCATCAGAACCCTTTATCAAAAGCTAAAGCAAAAGGTCTTTTCAACATTTCCTAAAGTTACCCTGTAATAAGTACACGTTTAAAAACTGGAAAATTTGTAGTAATGTAAACTTATTATGCTCCATGTATAGTAAGTAGCATGGGTCGGAATAGGTAGAAAGATTTAGACATGCTTTTCATATTAAAAGATTGGTTGTGGGCTTCGGTTTCCGCATTTAGACTCAAAAAGTGGTACTTTATAGTAAAAGATTACTCCCGCACTAGGAGTATACATCCTGTGTCGCCGGGGACTTAACAATCATTCATGAAACGGACACAAAGAACACCCAGGCTCAAAACAACAATTTGTGGATCACGCAAAGTGTTGTGAGCTAATGTTAGAAGACTTGCATCATTAAGAGAAAATTTATAACTGTCATATCGTTCGGAAATTAGTGATGATCATTGTACATTTTAAAAGTTTAGTATTCCAACATTTCAGTACGAGCAAATTTTAAATTAGATTGTAAAGTAACAAAATTTGTTACAATAATTAATTAATTTAATATGTTTAGTATATTTAATACACTTTATAATAATTGGTGTTTTTATTTGCTTATCGTATACTCTGTACGTCCCTCGGAGCCAAATAGAACAGACAACTTAGATGACTTGTCTGTCAAATGAGGCAGTATTTAAACAACCACTTAGAAGTATAATTATTACTTAGCAGTAGTCTGCCGACGCCTGTTATACGTTTTATGCGAGTACGGGACTGATCCGACCATTGGAAACCAATCAGGTAAGCACAGACATTTGTCAAAATTAAGGCTTTTATAACCCCTAAAACATTTACAGGTTACAAAATGGTTTATCCATACAATTTTTATTGCACATGTACCAAAGTAGTCACTGAACAAATCCGAAACATTTCGAGTATAATTTAATTATAAGCATACAGTCATACATTCAATTCGTTATCAAAAGCTACCCTTTATGTACCACAGCTCATACACGAGACTTGTGAACAGAAAGTACGAAACAGCACTGTCATTACTATTAGCTATTTACAATTTCTTTATATGAGAATAAAAAAATGTAGAGACTTTACTTTCGTACTTTCGTGTTTCTTTAATTTATTAATAAATGTCCGACCGTGGATATATTGCAGATCTTAATACATTATTTTGCCAGTAATTTTTATTCAGCGGTAGATTATACACAAGATTTTTTTAATTCATTCCGCGCACATTATTTTGTCTGGTAACACTAACGATGACTAACGACTAAATCAAATTATTTACATAGAATACAAAGTAAAGTTTACAAAGGAATATCTATATAAATCTAGGAAAACTATCACAGAAAAAAGTATATGACATCCACTGTCGGACAGCAGCTATCTAACCATGATTTCATATACACCGCATACAAAACGCCCATACTATCAACAACCAACTAAATTACACTAACGTAGTTTAACTACATTCTCTAGTTTCACAAAAATATACATTTCGCGAGGGATCTAGCACCTCTGTCTCGTTCGAAACGCGTATCCAATGTTTGGTAGGATACTCGTCACGTGAGAATGGATTATTGCGATTAATGAAAATGATGTCAACAGGATAAATTAGAATAAATAAATCGAATAACACTCCTCGTCAATATAACAATCGGCAAACTCATAATATGTACAATTAATTAAATACTTACATCTACACATTAATATCATAGTGTTATGACTGGAGAACTCACTGTCGCGTTCGACTGAATCACAAAGCGTTACTATAACTAACAGAGTCACTTTCGTCGCATGCGCTTACGTTTGTGACTCTTATGATATTATGTGAAGTCGTTAAACTGCGCCAGTGCCGTCTTCACCCTGAAACAAACATTATAATTGACGATCGTTGTCCTGATAAAATTTCAATGAAACTGTTTTAATTTAATAAAAACCTTTTTAGAGTTACCAAAATTTTGATTTATCCTAAATCTTGTTCGCACTATTATTTATTTACATATAAATGAAACATTTTAAACGAATTTATGTTGCCTACTAATTTGTGCAACTTTAAATACCCGTATTAAGTCGCTAAGTGGTAATCGAGTAGGTTAACACATTGCAAAGTTAAGCAAACTTAACGAGGTAAGTCTATGGATGGGTGATCATTCCTCATATATTGATATATTTCCGTGGCTCGGAGAGCACATTAAGCCCTTGGTCCCGGTTGCCATACGAACATCTCTGCCAATCGTCGCCCTAAAAAGTTCGACAACAGTTTTTCTATAGAACATCGCTATCGCCTAGTATTTGGGTGTGGAGGTCTGATAGCAGTCACTTCACGTAAAAAATCAAAGTTCAGCCGTGTTGTGGTATACTTAAAGCTAACCCCAACCCAATTTGGGAAAAAGGTATTGAGGAAACTTAAGTCGCTCGAGATTGAAGCTTAGTTTTAGACAAAGGAATCGTAATTCTAACCTTTTTAGCTCGATCCAGATAGAGAAATAATAGCTCGATCCAGATTAATCAAATTGTTTATACGAGCTGGCTCATTTTAGATGTTTACGATTTTTCGTTTCTTAATATCAGTTCAGAAAAGGAACGTCATCAGTAGGGATGGAATAAAATCACAATCGCCTGTGATAAATTATATGATTTATAAATCATATAATCACATCCGTGGCTAATTTACTAAACCTGTGACTGAAACCATTTGAAATGATTTAAAAGTAGCAATATTTGCAAGTCTATTTGACAGTATAGTGGAGTGTGTTGTGCGTACTTGTCGTGCAGGTGGTGCGCGTCGTGTCGCGCGCGCAGCAGCTGCAGCGCGCGCAGCACGCCGAGCTCGGCCAGCCGCGCCTGCCGCGCCGCCGCGCCCGCCTCGCCGCGCCACACCAGGTTCGTGGCCACGAACAGCGCCGCCTCCTGCAGCTTGCTCTCGGGGTGCGCCTGCAACACCGACCGACTCCCGCTCAATCTCACTTTTTTTAATACTAAAATTACCTATAACCGTTGCCATCGGAACTAAATACAGACCGGCTAAGCAAATCGTTAGAATCGTACACCAACATATACGATATAATGAAACCGTGATAATCTTCGGCACATATGCAGCAGTATTTAACAGTGCTTTCGTTGGTTTTTACCGAATGAATGCGATTACCGGTGCTCGAACCCTCCATCTTATTCTGGGAAAAGGTACTGCAAGGACAGCAGCACACTTATGACTCTCGAGTGACAGGTGTTCATGCACCATAAAAAAGAAACAAAATTCATAGTACCCAAACGATAAATGAGGCTACTAAAAATTAAAACGACCAATAAAAAGTATAAAAATAACGATTTAAATGTGATAGCAAATCTTATACCTAAGAATTCAAAGTAACAAAAAAATACTCTTTTACACTAAGCAAGTATCCCTTCCAATTTAAAAATAGCAACATTAACATCTAGTATTGCTACTACTGATGTGATGGTAGAAAGTACAAGTTGATCTAGTGGTTAGTGACCCTGACTGCTAAGCCGCAAGTCGTGCATTCGATTCCCACCCAGAACAAATAATTGTGTGATGAGCACGATGATATGTTCTATGTATTGGTGTAATTTATCTTTCTATGTATGTATTTAGAAATATATAAGTGTGTTTATCAGTAGTCTGATTACCATAGCACAGGCGCTGCCTAGTTCGAAATCAGACATTTCATCAGAAGACAGAAGTAATTTATTTCCGTACACCGATCAACAGATGTTACTACGATGAGATGATATTTTCATCTCATCGTTAGACAGATCTTATCGTCATTAGACATACAAATTATGAAAAAGTTTCGTTTTCGTTTCATACCAACTAGTTATTAAATAAATCTAGAAAATCCCCTTTTCAAGTAAGTAAATTAATTTCAAATATTTATTTCTAGAAAACTATGTGCTATTTTCAAACAGGAGTTTTATACAACATTTGCAAAAATGAGCCCTATACGTTTGATTAAAAAAACGAGCATGGCCGATTTTAAGGTCTCTTGACATACTATGTGTCTGTCTGTTTCTTCTAAACTTTCTAAATTTTACTACCAGATAGCTGTCTATATAAGGAGTAACTTAGGCTATTATTTCTTTCCGTAAAACCCTATAAAATTTTGACAAGGTCCAGGAATCGCACCCACTAAGGCAGCGCTTTTCAAATTCTACGCGAACGAAGTCGCGGACACCAGCTAGTATTAAATAAATATTTACTTCACTTACCAGATAATCGACTAGTTTTCTGAGAACATCTTCGTTGGCCATAATAAGATCTTTTGCTTTCTCTCCGTCACCAATGTTACCGAGGATACAAAGTGCCTGCTCTTTTACTTCAGCTGGGTATGAGCCTTCTAGCACTACTATCACCGCCTAAGAAAAAAAATCATATTATTTTCATAGAAAACAAATAAGTTTGTATCTAACTGGCCTGTTTGTCTAGGGCTACACAAGAGGTCATGGGTTCGATTCCCGCAAAGGAATAATAATTGTATCATAACTAGACTTGCAACGAATATTCGGTTACTATTCGGTATTCGGCCTATTCGGCTGCTTTTATTATATTCGTCCGAATATCTACATATTATTCGGCCGAATACCGAATACTTAAATAATATATTTTGTCATAGAGAAATACTTGGTAAAATGAAAAATTAAAATCGATTGATTACGTATATATTCATATTTTCATTTCTGTTATAATCATTTAAGTAGTCATTGGTGCATAACACAGGTACATAATCATCTTCTGAATTGGAAAAATGGAGGATTCTATGTATTTGAATTATTGTGGTAATCAAAATTTAGAAGGGTAAGGTTCTCATTTCTTTTATAATCATTTATTAAGTAGTCATTGGTACATAAAACAGGTACATAATTTAATCATTTTCTGTATTAAACAAGTTAAGAATTTTTCTATGCATTTGAATTATTTTCATAATCAAAATTTAGAAGGGGGAGGTTATGGTGCAGAAAGACTAACTTTTCTGCATTTTTAGGAAGTAGTTTACTTCTTTTTTCTCGTAGACCATCCCAACTTCAGAGAGAAGGCGCTCTGAATAAACACTACTTCCTGGCGCCGACAAATATTTTGCTGCAATCTTAATCAAACACGGAAATTCAAATTTCCTTGCTTGTCACCATGTATACGGCTTGTCATGACGTGATATATTACTAATATTTAAGAAAAGATCCATTTCTGTTGAAACTGCATTTTTTTCTGTTGATGTGTTTCCAGAAGCTGTGCTCTTTTCTGCTATCAGCTCTTCGAAGCAATCCATCAAAGTTGAGTGAATAGTCTGATTTAGACTTTGCTCTTCAGTTCTCATCCTCTTGGCCAAAGTAGGGGACGAACTCGCGCTATCGTCGCTTGTTTCTTCACAGCTCATTTTTATGCTATCGATTAATACATACTGCTTCACTTTTTCTTTTTGCAGTTGATTGGTGAAAACATTCATTTTAAATCTTGGATCGAGAAAGGTAGCAACCAAATGATTTTTACTCGTTGTAATGTCTTCAAATCTTTCTTGTAACCCTTTGTGTAAGAAATTATTTTATTTGAATTGCTTTTTTCTGTATCACTATATTTGTGTAGGAAATCATTTGTTGATATTTTGTATGAATTGCTTTCTTCTGTATCACAGCTAAATCGATGAAACTGTAATTTGATTTTCTCATGTAAGTGAATAGTTTATGTTATTCTTTGTGAGAAATAAACGATCTTAAACCTGAACCCTTGTTGTATGACGAGTATTGCCTGGCTTAATTTGGGTGTTAGCTCTTTTGACGTGCTCATTTTATTGTAATATAGCATTAAGGTAGCAACATACGGAATAATTTCAGAAATGCAAGCGTAGCCGGTACCTATAAGTTTTGTTATCTCCTCAAATGGTTGCAATAATTTTAAAAGATGCTCCAAAAGCTCCCATTGTGCAGCAGTCAAATTGGCAATATGACAGTCCGTCAGATAGACAGAAATGGCTCGTTTTTGTTGCATTAGCCTTTCGAGCATATAATATGTAGAGTTCCAACGCGTGCTAACATCTTGGACTAACTCATGTTGAGGCAGACCCAAATCTTTTTGGACAGAATGCAGTTTTTCTTGTGCAGTACCAGAATGATTAAAATGAGTTACGATTTTTCTACCTGTAGCTATCATCTGAGTCACATCTTTTTTTCTTTTTTTTTTTTTAACGTGTGGAAATCCCCTCGGACCGTCACCCCTCCGGGGTTTGCGGCGGGGTGGTGTGTCGGACTCGGACCGACTAAAACCACACGGTGTGCCACTCTGCGCCTGTAACAGGAGGGATCCGGGTTTGGATCACATCTAACTGAACCTTTAGACAATCATCGACAATCAATTGAATAGTATGAATGAAACAGCGTGCTGAGGCCAACTCTGCATCACTAACAGCTTTTACTATGTTTCGTCCATTATCATGAATAACAATATGAATTTTTTCACGGATGTCCCACAAATTTGCAATTTCTTGTAAACTCATAGCTATATTCGTTGCTGTGTGTTGTCCCTCAAAATGCTTGATGCTCAATACTACATGTTTGAGGTTGAATTGGCGGTCAATAAAATGTGCAGTAAAACTTAAAAAACTGTTATGATTATGCAAGCACGTCCACATGTCGGTCGTTACGGAAATATAATCTGTCTCTGAAAGTAAACTTTTCATCGAATCACATTGTCAGAAAAGTAAGGACGACTTGGTATATTGTACCGCGGCAAAGCGCTATTAATCAGTCTACTAAAACCAGCCCTTTCTACTATATTTACTGCCTCATTATCAAGTGCGATCATTTCAGCAATTAACACATGGTTTATTAATTTCTGCACATTTTTCAAGAGTTTATTGTTTATTTGACGTTGAAGGTTTATTACTTACATTCGTATCTTGATTTGTAGTTTCTTGCCCTTTAGGGAACGTGGGTACCAACTTATTATATTCTTCATTGTGTTTATTTTTTAAATGATTTAACATTCCTGATGTTGTCGCCTTTCTTCCAACGCCACCACGAGAAATTTTTATTTCGCACAGTTTACACACGGCACTTTTTGGATCATTTACATCATCCTCGAAGTATATAGCCGATTTTTTTTTACAGGCCATAATCGATTTTTTTTATTATTAAAGTACGTTCGTAATTATTTAATTGTTTATTTGTTAAATTTCACACTATCACACTTACAAACAGATCAAAACTAAGAGAGCACAATAAACTGTACTTAACGTAATCCACGAAATGAACTTGTCGAAACATGCAGTGCGTTAGCAATATACCGCGCAGAGCAACAGCGGGCGCGCGGGCGATGAGTTCATTAGAACAAAACAAAAGAAGCGCGAAACAATCACGTCTGTACAAGTTTTTGTCACTAAAATCCAGCCGAACACTTTGCCTAATATTCGGTTATTCGGTCAGGGGCCTCGCCGAATATTCGGTATTCGGTATAGTGCCGAATATACTATTCGTTGCAAGTCTAATCATAACTTATCAATTAATGTATCTTTAGAAAGAAATAAAATTGAAGTGTCTATTTGTAATGTCAAAATAACAGGTTTTATTCATGCTCATGTGGTTATTTGTACGATACCTGGGCCTAATTTTTTTTGCCGTCGGTTTGTTCCGGGTAATCTTCAAAACGGCTGGACCAATTGCGATAGTATTTTACTACCAGGTAGCTGTCCATTTTCCTCTCGAATCGAACCTCGCCTCATGGACGTACCATACTTCAGTCACGTCACGTACCATACTTAACCACCAAGGCAGCGTTTTCAAAAAAACAAGCAGGTGAAACTATTTAGGGTTCTGTAGCGGTCTAGTAGTACAACAAACCTGCATAACTTGGGAGGAGTACTCGCTCATGATGGCATCTATGTGGTGTCTGGTTGACAACAAGTTTCGCAACAATCCTAGGGTCTTCATGATCACTCGCGTGTCGCTGTCTCCCAGCAACCGAAACATCTGCTCCGTGCCTAAACTACACAGAATGCGTTGTTTCACTTTTTGTTCGGCCTGGAAAATATTAGGTACACTTAAGCGCAGTTTAGTTTTATAATTAATAAACCCAAGTGAAAAAAAAACTTTTTACAAAGGATGCTGTTAAAAATATCCAAATGGACATAACTTTGTTCTTGTGGGTGAATAGTGTCACCATAATACAAGCAATGTGAATTGAATTATGTCTTATTATTGAATTATTATTATTATTATTATTATTGAATGACAATGAATTACAAAGAAGCTGCTAACATTAGGTAAAAAACAGATTCTCTAGTTCTATGTAAAAAGACATTTACCTGAAAAGCCATGTTCATAAGCGCCCATATTCCATTCAATCTCAATGCAGATTCTGGCCTTTTCGTTAAATTACATAATATTTCTACTGCACCTGTAACACAAAAAAAAATCTTTGATCAATAAAAACATTGTTATTTGAAAATAAAACATTAGAATTTTTAAAATGTAACATATTTTCTCTCGTTTTCCTGCAATCTATGAAAAAGGGACGGAAGTATGTAACAAAGTCATTCGACCAATAAGCGCACGCCGTGCTAGACCTGGCCGTCAGATGTTAAGTGAGATGTCACATCATATGCGACAACTTGGAAGGATCTCATTTGTTTTATTATACCAACCTTGATCCAACATTGGCTCTTTGGCTGGTGAAAACTCGAGCAATAGATTGCAGAGTGTAGATGAAGCAACTGTGAGTAGTTCTGTGCCAGGCGAATCGTTTAATAATTGCATTAAAGGTTTCCATACAGCATGATCCTGAAGAAATAAAATACAATTAGTAATGTTATTTAGCCTCCGTCTGTCACATTATCATCAGCCTATCGCAGTCCACTACTGGGCATTGGCCTCTCCCATTGCACGCTACTTAGATCGATTTAAGGCTTCACAATTTTTTTAAATATGGATTTAACTTAAAATTACCTAAAATAATAGGAGGCATTTTAAGGTTTAATTTCTACTTCCCCGTCTTTCATATTTTAATATCGAAATAAAATAGAATGAAAGATATTTAAATTACCTGAAAGGTCGTTCGTAACTGCTGCACTGATCTTGATAGAGAATGCAAACATCTCACTGCTGCTAATCGTACCTGAAAATCCCAAAAATAGCGCTATAAAATACTTCATCATCATCAACAGCCTTTACTAGTCCACTGCAGGACATAGGCCTCTCCTTGGAAATAAGGTTTTTTAAAATACTTCTGTCAACAACAATTTATTCTCTAATAAGAAAAAAGAACTTGACTGACAAAGATATCATGTCATAACAGTTCATGTTATTCCCATTATCTTTTAATCTGAAAGCATCAGAACTTGAATGCTTATCCCTGTCTTGTATCTGTCTTGTCTTGTTCAATAGCCTATTCGGTCCCAAGCCGGAAAACCAGATAGCCTAGTGTGAGTTTATTTCACATCAACTCTCGATCGTCACAGTGATCGCATTTGCCGTTGCGATTGATAAAGAGTTCAGTGCGGGCCAATCGCGGTCACCGTGACGATCGAGTTGATGTAAAATAAACTAACACTAGACCCCCAGATACCCAATTCAAGCTTCTTCAAGCTACTGCAATACCAGTCAATCTTGTGGTATTCCATACATTAGACCCCAGTCCTTATCAGAGAAAAAAGAAATCAAAGAAAAGAAAAATAAATCAGGCGACTTCTAATTACATTGAGAATTTCACAGGGAAATTATGACTGATGATAATGATGATACCAAAACTCGAGTTTTCGCCTTCTGTATGTTTATTAAAACTTGTAATTTACCATAATATACGAGTATATCATCAGTTTTTAGTTTAGAAAAATACAAAACAGTGCTTAACGTGCTCAGAATAACATTATTATACATACCAAGGGTTCAGGATTGTTCATTCCATTGATTACGTGCACCATTAGTCCATGGGTCTCTATGATTCTCTTCCTGATATCTTCATCGTTAGCACCTAGTGAAGCAAAGCATTTGAATGCTCCTTGTTTAGCGGCCGCTGACTGGCAATTGACGATGTCTGCTAATGATGTCATTAAATGATTTGAAATTGCTGCTAGTCGTTGTAATGATGTGTCGACCTGTAAAAGTTATAGACACGCATAAATATCATATTTATATATATTGCTAGTTAGCATACTATATGACCAAATTCCGATTTTTTACAGTCTAAATAACTTAGGAATGTTGTTTTCATCTGTTAATTGATTAGTAACCAATTAACCTTATATGTTACGGCATTCAAAATTATAGTCTTATAACTTAATAAATAAATATCGTATCCATGTGATTAATACTAATAGCATATTTTATACATTGACTTCTTTTTAAAAAAAAAAAAAAAAATTACTTACTTTATAATATAAAATTTAGAAGTTATGAAGCATATGAGGTTTATTAATTAGTTCTCACCTCAAACTTCATAATGTTAAAAACGCCTATAGTTCGTTTTTTTAATGCGGATTAAAATATTCAAAAATAGAAGCTTACGGAATGCAACAACTTTTACACAGCTTTGACACTACACACCACAAAATAAACATTGAAATCTTTAATTTAATAACTGATATCATAGATATGTAAGATCTCACATCTCGAGCATACCTCTGCTAAATATGCTAAGGCCTCCGCAGCAGTCGCCCTGATGTCCTCGGGCATCTCCTTCGTACATAGCCTCGCTAAACATGGTAATGCACCGAACACCACTCTGCGTCAGATAAAGGGTGGCTGAATTTAACACTTAGAAATAAGTAACTTGTGCCCTTAGTTTCGATACAGCTGATGCAAATTTTGTCATAATGAAACTCTTTATGCTCTATCTCTCTCCCACTTTTCTCTTTTCCATTGAACGTAATCACATCAATGGTTGGTTAAATTGTTTAAAGGCGCAGCAAAGAAATAAATAAACAAACATCTTAAAGTCAGGAAGCAACTGCCTTGTTGTCAGTTTGTTTTATAAAGTCTGGTTGGGTAAATGACAGCAGAATTATGCGTGAAATTTTCAAACTAAATGTTTTTCAGGCATTTTTTAATGTTAATATTAATATGAAGTATCTATTTCAACATAAATACTATATTTATTGGATAAATATCTAAAACAATAATTACCAAAATAAATAACAATACCTTTCAAAAAGTATATCATCAAGTTTGTGAGGAACACAAGTTGGTGAACTGTATTTTTCACTCATTACTTTTCACTCATATCACTATCAATAAAAAAAGAATATTTCAAATCGGTTCAAAATGACGGAGTTCTGAATTGAGAAAATATTCATTTTCTTTCTTTTTTGAAATCGTTTAAAAACAAATTAAAACTTATGAATCACCTGCTGTCGTCAGCCGGTAAAGCTCCTGCTCGATGTATGAAGGTGAGACATCGCGCGGCGCCCATAGCTACCACTAATGGTTTGTCCCGGGATACCAGTGACATCAACAATTCCGGTATCGTCTTGTCGCCATGCCTACGAACAAGTAAAGAAGACCATTATGTAAAACAATTGATTACTAAGGATTATTATCTAACGATGTGATTATGTGATAACACACTTGCTCCGATTTGACCTACCAACGGATCATGACTTGATGGATACTTTTGTATAAAGCACCAATTCGAAAATCGAAATATCGCCCTCATAAAAATCGATTAGTAATATAAATGATCAAAATAAGATAATCATTTCAAAACCTCATCACCTATCGTGTATTTCAAGTCTTTTTTTGGTGTTAATATTTATTTAATACGAGTTTTAACGGAAAAATACCGTGAATTACGACTACTGCACTACTATACGCCAATGTTTTTCATTATTCAATAAGAAAACGCTGAGTTTTTCTTCTCGGATATTAAACTGAATATTTAATTACCGCTTAAACTGCTTATTGTAAGCACTACTTACGACTTACCTTTGGATGAGGATCAAAAAGATCAAGCAAATATCATTCAATTGCTCAAACTAGTAGAGGAGATATCGATTGGTCGGTTTAAATATTTTTGCATGTTGTTTCTTTTATTATCCTGGAAACGTGAAATTTTACAACGTTTTGTACTTAAATTCTTTTTTAAATGTATCTTGTAAACAATGGGACACACAACAAATGGGAGAGCCATGCACGTGTGGGTCGGCTCGACCGGAGTGATACCGTTGCCTCACAGAAACCCGGCATGAAGTAAATCTTTCGCTTCTTTTCACCGAGTGAGTATACGCGGCGGCAGCCTAGTGGTTCGAATCCTGACCAGTGCACTACCGACGTGGACCCACTCCTTACACAAGCAAGTTAACGGAAATAATAGTAACTTCAGTTGCTAGTAAACCATTAAAAAAAAGAAAACCCCGTCCTCTCTCCCTTTGACTCTAAGGAAAGGGACTTAAAGAGCGGCAACACACTTATGACTCTTGAATTGCAGGTGTCCATGGGTGGCGGTGGTCACTTAACATCAGGTGACCCGTCAGCTTGTTTGACCCCTAATGCAATAAAAAAAAACCAGCGCCAAACTCATCAAACAATTTTTAAACGTAATAAGTTATCACGTGTTAGGTGTGTTCATTGTAAATTCATTTTATGCAATTGAAACTATTTGACCTACATTTCAATATTACATTACAAAACTATTTGAAATTGTGGTCAGAAATATCATCAACTGGTAAGATGACTGAACTAGAATAGTTTTACAACACTATTAATTTGAGCTGTAAGCTGTTGTAGTGAAAGCAACTTTACGGATGACTGCCGATAGATAATCTAAAAATTATCAATGGTCACTGCACTCGAAGCAGTAAAGAATGTAGTGCGATTACTTCATTATAGTTTGGTAAAAACCTGCACTTAAAGCAAACAACTATTTTGATGTCGATACATGAAAGAGGGCAGGAATCGTCAACCAGCTTTTCAGTTTGTTTTTAAAGACTGGTTCAAAAGTAACTGGAACAGTATGTTTTAAAGTTTAAAGTCAAATATACGATAATACTATCGTACAAACAATCCATTTTTTTTACGGATGCCTAAAATAATGAATAGGAACTCTCTTACAACTCATTAAAACATATTTTCCGATGGTAGAAGGGTGAGTTATTCTGTGTCGAATCTGCATGTGAGTGACCTCTGTCGTCTTTATACATAAGATATAAGAAATACGTGGACGAATATGTATATAATAATAAGTATTTTCGCCATAAGCAACAACGAAAAATTCGTAACACAGCTTTACATTCATTCTTAAGGATATGCATTTTGAAAAAAAATACTATCGCGTAGTCTATTCTATGTCTATTTTAACCGGTGGCGGTAATAATCGAATCGGGAGGGCTCAACTTTACTGCAAAACAATATGCACTTACTTTGTTTTTAGTGCTACTTGTGACACATTAGCATTTTCAAAGCACATATTCGCTAACAAGTCCAGGGCAGGTAACGCAGGTGCTGCGGGAGGAGCCGATGCCATTAATGCAGCGGCTGCCTCGCATGCGCCCGCTGCACACAACGCCTCTTGTTCTGCGGTCCCACAACACCAGATGGAAAGTATTCGGACGACGCACGTGCGCGCTGTTGGGGTACCATCGCAGGCTATTTCTGTGGGCAATGTATTTCTAAATATATATTTTATGTGGTTGATAGTATGTTGTGTTTTATGTGGTTGATAGTATGTTGTGTTTTATGTGGAATCGGTTAAACAATTTATAATGCTGCAGCATAAGCTGATATGATTACTATTATTTATACTTTTTACTGCTCAAAATCTATTGGTTATTTTGTCACCCAAAACAAAAAACTATGTAACGAAACCCTAATTAATGGGTATGACTTCTTTATTATGTTATTAGGTATATTTATATATTATTCTGGTATATTCTAATCCATTATACATCCATTTATACTTTTTCTTTGAAATATAACCACTTGTTCCTACAAGGCATTTATTAAAAGAACTTCCTTATTACGCCTTAAATCCAATTACATAAAAAACACTGTAGCCTTGTAAATGACACCGAAAACCTCAAGTATCCAAAGTTATGTCATCCATAGTGTATCCATTCAAATCATTTATAGTTAGATACACCCATTTCAATAAATAACTTCTGAGCATATACTTCATACATAAAAAGGTGTACATTTTATTGTTCTTGTAAGGACCTAGACTCTGCAATATTTAAATTACTTGTAATTGAAATATATTGAAATATATATTTGATATACCAATTTTTACAAATTTTCAAATAACCCTGACAAATACTTTATGTAATTAGTAACCATAAATACCTAAGTTTTTTATTCATTATTATTATAGAAACCCTGCCCGATAAACTGTAATACAAACAGTGCTGTAATATTATATTTCATTAAATGTTGTAACAGCTGTTTGGTAAATTAAAAAAAACTGTATGTAAATAAAATAATAGACCATTTAAAAACATATTAAAAAATTACTTTTGGGATTTTTTAAAATTGCAACTATGTGTGATGTTATGACTATCAGTTTCACCTATTAAAAATATTTCATTTATGTAACATCTCGAAGAGATGAGGCAAGCAATGACAAGGGGTACAAGAGAAGGGGAAGAGCAAAGAAAAGGTGGATGGACTGTGTGAGTGAGGATATGGCTAAGAAGGGAGTAAACAGTGAGATGACACATGATAGAGTAGAATGGAAGAATCATACTCACTGCACCAACCCCAAATAAAATTGGGATAAAGGTAGACAGATGATGATTATGTAACCTCTCAGTAAATCATTGTTATTGTTTTGAAACTTGTGAAAACTTTAATATGCAAAGAGTTCATAAGTAGTTCATTTTATTTATAAATCTAAAACACACACCCAATTTTTTTCTATGTATGATATCCAGTTAATTTAGCTTTTAAAGTTCAAGCTCTACTTGGTTTGAAACTAGATGGCATTGTGTGTCAGATGTCCGAAAAAATATATATTTATCACCACTGAATGTAAATTGCTTTATAGCACTACTAGCGGCATACTTGTTTAAAACCAATGGGAAAAAAAACATAAACAATTTACATTTTATGTTTAATTCAATTAACCAATAAGTTCATTGGTTAATTGAATTAAACATAAAATGTAAAAAAAAATACAGAGCAATAAATTGACTAATACATTAAATGACACACTAACATACTACTTTTAATGATGTAACTAATAAGCATTAATTTGTCTATGAAGCAACCACTGTGCATTGTCATGTAACTCATTAATAATAATAAAAGCCTTAATTGACTGACCATTTTACAACTTAATTAATAAAATTATTAAAATAATTTAATTTAATAATTTAAATTTTAAAAAAAATTGAAAAAATATTGTTTTCCAACAAACACTTAGGTTGTCTTTTGACACAGGGGGCCCCTAGTTCCTTCCACTTATCTCTATCTCGAGCTATGCCTCTCCATCCTTTTGGCAAATCATCCTCCCATCTTATAATTTGACATCCTTTTTCTCTTTTAATATTATATATGTATATATATATAATTAATTCACTGCACAATAAATTTAAAAAATAACTTAGTAACTGGTCACAGAGACCTAAAGACCAACACCAAAACACATGGAAACCCCACTATAGGACTACAGAAATTAATCTTTTATAGTATGGTATTTAATTAACAATGTAAAACATTCAATTTTAGTTTATGAGTTCTGTACTTACGTGTCAATCTGGCCAGCAAACTCGTTTCTGCTGGCAATGCTGACACTGGAGCTGGTGGGTGCATGAAGACACTTCGCAAGGCACATAACCCTGCTTCTGCCACCTTTGTGCCTAATGGTGCTGATTTCAGAAGATTTACTAAGGCTGTAGCTGCTCCTTGGTCAACCAGAGCTCTGACATTTTCTGTGGTGCCTTTTGCTAGAGAACCTAAAGTTAAAAAACAATATAATAAAAATTGTATTAAGAAACTTTGTTGTGATTATTGAATAAACAACAAAAATTAAAAAATTATACATAGACATAAATTCAAAACTTTGTAAGGCTTTGACTAATTACCGATTGTGATAGTAGCTTCAAGTTTTATGATGGGGTCCATGGTATCATCAGACATCAGCTGTAGGAGACGCGGAACTACTCCCTGTTGTATCACTGAACTCTTCTGTCTATTACTTCCTATAACTGAGTTTTTCAGCATCACCAATGCCTCAACGATTCTCTCAGGATCCGACGAATATAGCTCGTCAATGTAAGAACGTGAACTTTCGATATCCTATCGGCAAAATGTTATAGGTTAAGAATATAATTTAACACCAAAATATAACTGTAGAGTCTAGCATCTGTTTAATTAACTTACCATGAATACTGTTAATTGTTGCATGTTTTGCCTGTGATTTACGCAGTATTGTTGGTAAAAATAACGTTCGAAATTTCTTCCGAGGCCGAATACACTGTCAACTAACCACCTGTCATTGAAAGATGCGTTCCTTTTTATGTTGTAACTGTTCAGTTTAAGATGTACAGCAACTAGGGCTTATTTTGATGAAATGAAATGTGTTGTGAGGTAGTCTGAAACGGAGTTTAGCACTATCAGCATAAGTTTTGTTATCTTTTATGTATATATATTATTAGCTTTATATATATATTACTAGTTTAAGTTTTATCATGCCTGTAAAAGATAACAATTTATTCATTCTTAATCTTTCATTCTAAAAATCTTTTTTGGCTCTACCACAGCTCTACATAAAATCCTTTGACAGTTTGTCTTTCAAATACATGACATTGGCGAAATAATTGTGGTTACCTAAGAGTGGTTACACTCTACCACAAAGCCATTAACCAAAAGTTGAAATTGTTATCTTTTAAAAATAAAGTGTTGTCTATTTTTTCTGTCAAACTATCTCAAGGAGTTATTAATATCGCTGTATCCTCTCAGCAGCTTAATTCTGTATTCCGACGTTCTTTTTTACCTGGCTATCATAAAAGAGATGTCTACGCACAGTATTAAAGATAAAGATATAATCTTTTAGTCTGTCTATTAATACTTTTGCTTACATTGTACTTTCGAGACTTTAAAGAGGGCGATGTCTCACACGCAACTAAAAGACATAGAAATGTTTACATCTTTGATGATTTTGTAATATATCATGACTTCATGAGTGACACATAAATGATTTAAGGTTTACAATTATAATTTTTTTTTTTTATGATGGGCACGTGGTTAAGGGGTAACCGAGTAGGTAGGCTGGCAACTTGTAAAGTTAAACAATCGTAAGAAAGGTCACCCATCTGCAGACCTACCTAACTTATATGGATAGGTGACCATTCTTAACACATTTAGACCCCTCCGTGCTTCAGAGACCACGTTAAGCCCCCGGTCCCGGTTGCCATACCAACATTTGTGGCAATCGTTACGGGTAGTTAGAGCCTTAAAAAGTCCGACAAAAGTCTATCAGCAGAGCTTTGAAGCTCTGTTGATAGACTGTTGTCAGATGTCTCCACGCCCCACGAAAAAATGCGAAGTTTAGTTGTGTCTTAGTAGACTGAAAGCTGACCTAGTTTGGGAAAAGGATCGAAGGATTAATGTTTGTTTATACTCTGTGCTTGTAAGGAAATATATAATATACAGCCTTTTTGATTTGTGTTTGGAGAGGTTTTCATGAGAAACATCTAATGCGGCGGGTCAGACCAGCTGCTAGCGTGGCGGCGCGTCGCCACGGAATAAGTCGACACAGTATGTTATAGTATGAGTATATTAACGTAACATGTCATGCGGTGTGGAAATATAAATAATAGGCATAAAATAATTTTGATGGATAACATCTGCCAGAGTTCTGTAACATCTTAAATTAATAGGAACTTTGCGCTACTTATGTACTTAAACTTTACGGGAGGCTATCGAACTTGACGAGGTGTGTTGCTTGACGAGGTGTGCAAACTCTTCAAAAGAGTGATTGCAAGGCGCCTCGTCAAGCATCTCGTCATAGTGGGGCCGGATTTGGCGGACACCCAGTACGGTTTCCGTCAGGGGCGCTCCACCGTGGATGCGATCATGCGCGTGAGGGCTCTGGCGGAGGAAGCGGTTTCCCGGGGCGAAGTGATGTTGGCGGTCTCCTTAGACATCACCAATGCGTTCAACACTTTGCCCTGGAGTTGCATCAGGGAGGCGCTCCTATTTCACGAAGTGCCTCTCTACCTCCGCCGTATAGTCGGGGCATATTTATCAGGGAGAGCCGTCGTCTACTCAAGTAGGACAGGTCTTGGTAGACGTGAAATGTCGTGCGGTGTCCCACAGGGGTCGGTATTAGGGCCACTCTTGTGGAACATCCGCTACAACTGGGTTCTTCGTGGTTCCTTTCTAGATGGTGTCGCCGTCACGTGCTACGCGGATGACACGCTTGTGACGGCGTGCGGCAGAATGCACCGTGAGGCAACCCTGAGAGCCACGGCTGGGGTTGCCCAAGTCGTGGAGCGGACCCGGCGGCTGGGTCTTGAAGTGGCACTGCACAATTCCGAGACCTTGTTCTTTCACGGGCCTCGGAGGAAGTCACCTGAGGGATCCAGCCTTGTAGTAGGAGGCACTCGCATCGGCATCGAGGCTTCGATGAGGTGTCTAGGGCTCGTACTTGATAGCCGATGGGACTTCGGACACCATTTCCGAGGTCTGGTCCCCAAGTTGGTTGGAGCAGCGTGTGCATTGGCGCGGCTGCTGCCCAACATGAGGGGACCCGATGATTCCTGCAGGAGACTCTACTTGGGGGTTGTGCGGTCCATGGCCCTTTATGGAGCCCCAGAATGGGCGGAGACCCTGAAGGCCAGCAATGTCGCACTACTGCGACGACCACAGCGAGTGCTGGCCATCACGGTCATAAGGGGGTATCGCACGATCTCCTTTGAGGCGGCGAGTCTCCGGGCCGGAACTCCACCGTGGGACCTGGAGGCGAGAGCCCTTGCGGCTCTGTATCAGTGGCGCAGGTGATCACCGGGAAAGGATGCTTCGGAGATCAAATGTGTCTGATCCGCAAGGAGCAAACGCCTGAGTGCCACCATTGCGATGGCCGAACCGTGGACACAGCGCTCCATACGCTGGCAGAATGCCCGGCGTGGGTGGAGCAGAGGCGTTGCTTCGTGGCGGCCATCGGGGTGGGAGTTCTCTCGCACGGTAACATGATTGCCGCCATGGTACGGAGCGAGAGTTCGTGGAACTCCGCCGTCTCCTTCTGCGAGCAAGATATGCTTGTTAAGGAGATGGCGTAACGAGACCGGGAGAGGTTTAGAACTCTCCCGGAGCGACAGGCCCGGCAACGGGCCAGGTACCGCAGACGACTCAGGCGCCGGAGGTCTCAGAACCATCTGTCACCCTAGCAGAAGCAGGCCGGGGTGGTGGCGAGACGCGCTTCGAAGCACGCGCCCCCCTTTCGGGAGCACAAAGGGAAACCTTTCCCATACTGGAGGGGGTCATTTACGCAAGTAGATGGCCCAAAGTACGTCGGGGTATCAGGGTTTTCCTTCCTAGGGTACACCTGGTTCCCCGGCAACTGGTACCCGAGACGGCGTGCGGTTTTTGGTAGGTTCGAATCCGACATAACCACCAAAAAAAAAAACGACAAATGTAAGACTCACTTTTTTTGGAATAAATATTTTATTACTTTATATCGACTATAGAAATCGAAAGCAATTCTCTATACGTAATAGTTCAAAAGGTTGTTGATAATTTCATAGTAAAATGACAAAAACCATAATCATATTTACATTTCTGAGATTACCACGTTAAATTTTAATTTTGACTTAGATATGTCACAAAAGGTTGCTAGAAGACAAAACGACCAAAAAAACATTAAACCTTTTAAGTAAAACAAAATTTCATATTTAATTTTATGCCATTATTCCTGTCAAAATATGAATGAATTGAATTGATTTATTTTTCATATTGATTAGAAATTCACTACATAGTAATTATTAAAAATGAAACAGTTCTATGATTAGAGGCCCAAGTGCGAGTTTATTTCACATTTACTCGATCGTCACGGTGACCGCGTTCGATGCTGCAATTAGCCCGCACTGAAATCTGCACCAATCACAAAGCCGCACACTCTCGCTGTCGAGCAGTGATGTTATGATGTATGATTTTTTCAGAAAATCGATTAAAATTTATACCCTGCTGTCAAATGTATCGAAATAATGGAAAAATTCGCTCAATGAGTCACGGTTGATTTTTATTTTATTTTTTCAAATTATGTATAGACGTAAGATCTAACAATAAAAACGTCAATGAATAATGATAATGATGATTATTAGTTATAATATTATAAATAACTTATTGTTAATTTTTTATCAGGTGTGAATTATATTTTTCAAATCGAAAATTTCTTCGATAGTTCAAAATTTCATTTAAAAAACATACAATATAAACGATTTATTATATTATATTATTATTATTAATATGACGTTATTGTGTGTACCAATTTTTTTATTAAATGTTAATACACAAATACAAATATAAATACTTAACATAAATATAAATTAATATACCAGCTTTTAGAACCTTTTTATTGGGCAAATATCTAACATCACTGCTATCGTGCGAGTTGAGTCAAATAAACTTGCGCTTCATGCATTTTACTCAGGCGCGTTGTACTTGAAAATGAAATAACATGTGGCAACACTATCTATGTGCTAAAAGAGAAAAGGCGATTGACAGCTTGTGAAGTATAAACAAGTCAAGTACCTACCTACTTGCCCTCGTTAACTTTCTTTTATTATTATATTTTTTTATTGGTGTGCTTATTTTATGTAAGTAACACACTTACTAAATTAAAAGTTTTTATCAACTATTTACTGGTTTTTGTTACCCGATAGCCATGACTGATTCGGGAGTAGATACAAGTAATGAGAGCAGCGATAATCCAATATTTGATCACTCCCAGTGTATTTTAGAATTCAGTCCACCTGCTATACCTATAAATCAAGCTGGCCAACCAATGCCCGTCGAGTTCTTAAATGAACCTCATGATCATGTCGGCAAAATTAAATGTTCTACAAAAGCAAGACATTGTAGATTGAAATATAGATATGGAGGTACTATTTGTTCATCAAAAAACCATAAACTTCGTTTTGCCGCTTCTACTAACAACACTGAGCTTGTAGAGAAATTACTGTTATCAGGGGCTGACCCAAATTCATCAGATGAACATAAAAGAAGCCCTCTTCACTTAGCTGCATGTCGTGGCTATGTTGAAGTTGTTCGGTCATTATTAAGACACGGCGCTAATCCCAACATTAAGGACACTCTGGGTAATACACCATTACATCTTGCTGCTTGCACTAACCATATTCAAGTAGTCATAGAACTTCTCGATGCTGGCACTGATGTTAGCTCACACGATAAAAATGGTCGAAACCCTATACAGCTTGCACAGAGCAAGCTGAGGCTTATTCAGATGCGTCCAAGTGGAGCTGGGAGCTTTGAAGAGACAAAGCAACTAATTGGTGAAATATGTTTAGTTGTCAAAATGATGTGTAAATATTTGCAAATACAAAAGGCCGATGCTGGAGATTTGGAGTCTGTGCGTCTTAGACTAGAAAGAGTCAGTACTCGTGAACAAGTAGATTCTGAAGTACAAAACTTACTTGATAGTTTAGATTCTCTGAAGTTGAGATAAGCAATTATAATTATTTACAAATGGTCAAGACTGTTTAATGTTAAAACTGTCTAATATTAAGCTGAGTTTTAATATTATGATAATATTTTAGACATGATAATGTTTTTGATAAACTGTGAAATTTATTGATAAGATTAATTGTACATTATAATTATCATTGTCCTATGGAAACCGTTTATGTTTTGATTTGAGTGTAGGTTTAATGTTTCAGTAATTTGGCACCTATGAAATAATTAACTACAATGGTTTTTAGGTAGGTATTTGAAATGCATTATGATCACATGTGTATTGTACATTGTATATTTGCAATAAGTCAAATGATTGTTTAGTTTTAAGTGCATTCAGATAATGATGAAATTTAGAATAAAATAAAATGATTATATCTGAATTTATTGTTTTAATACAACCACTCCAACTTTCAATTTATTCACAACAGTTTCATAAGATGGAGATATATATTGTATGTAATATTTACATCATTTTAATCCTGTAAATATGATATTGTAGATAATAATAAAATTGGTCATAAAAGTTACAAAGACAAAAATATGATAAAACAATGGAATGTATACAACAATATTTAGGATTCAGGAACACTGACACAAGGTTACAAATATAAACTTTTTATAAATAAAATATAAATTAATATTACTAATTATTTACTTTTTAACATATTTGTTGAACTGACAGAGTATAGGTAAAGTTTATATATATTTACTTGATAGATAAGAAATAAAACATTATAACGAGATTACAACACAAAAAGAGATATTTTTAAAACTTATTGTTTTTATTGAAATATAAATAAAGTCTGATCATTAACAATATAAGAAATTGGTAAATCAGTAACATCTTTATAAACACTCTTAATATTGTTTAGATATTTGTACAATAATAACAATTTTTGGAAAGTATTTCACTTATTTAATTGATTTAACTTTCGGTTTAGATTACTTCAGGTTATTTTTTATAAACACTACATTTTTAGGAAATGGAAATAACAAAAATTATGGCAGAATAGTAGTTTTTATCACAGAAAAAAATATTACTAAACATACAATCATTAATACTGCTAAACAAACTATATTAAGTTACACCGAGTAATCCCATCCCCTTAATATTTCATTTTATAAATTAATAAGAAGATATTTATACAGAATGTTACAGAATTACGTTTTAAATGTCATAAGACCCTTGTGTTATAAAATAAACCCCAAGCATTTACAAATTCAGGAAAATTTATGGTTTTCATTTCAAAAATCTTATTTGATAACTAACAAATTGAAGTGGGAAAATTGAAATGAATTATGGATTCACCCCTTTCTTATTTAGTAACAATGGTGTTGACTGAATTTTTATTTTTTTAAACAGTCTGCATAAAAAAACATGGAGTTGTTTATTTATATATTGTTCATAAATCTGCACCCACCTACTAGATAAAGCTTTTCGAAAAACAACAAAAAAATTTGAAGTACAAATGTTTGTGCCCATCACACAATTGTTTCTCCTGGGTGGGAATCGAACACAGAACCTCTGGCTTAGCAATAATTGTCACTAGACCACGAGGCCAGTCAGTCACTATAGTTTGACAGCAACCTTTCTGTAACAACCTGTATAATTATCCTATTTTACTATATTTATATATTAGGGCAAGTTAAATGTCCACCTTAACAAATATGACAAGGTGATATCAATATTAGTACAATATAAAAAATTGGCGCTTGATTTTGAATTTCCATAAACTTCCAATAAAAAGCATGCCATATTCTCTTAAGTAACAGTTCACAAACTTTCACTCTACTCTCATTTAACATTAAATGTTGCTAATAAACAGTAATTATTTCATAATTTGTATAACTTGCTTTGAGCTATATAGTTTAAAAGATTAGATAATACATTTACTACAAAGTTTTTATAAGTAATATAGCTATTGAAAAAAAACCTCACATATAGGAATAATGTGATTCAAACAATTGCTCTACACTTGAGCACAATTAGTTAAAATCAATTCCTTATAATACAAAATAAGTGCTTTTAGAGTGCAATGTTTGGCACTGAATCATTGTTATCTATGTAAGTTTTGACTAATCTCAACTAGCTCACTTTCACCATCAATTTACTTATAAAATTATATCACATTTCCAGTTATTGAACCAATTTAAATTAAATATTGTATACATTAACATAAATCACAACATTATTGGAATGATCTAACTTAACTGCCACTTTAATTAGTAACTTTTCTAAGATATTTTCAATAATTTAGACAACACCTCTTACACAACCATCACTTTCACCTTTGCTTGAAATATTGTACTCCCATATATTGCACTTGCATCGGCTCTGCTATGGTTCAAATAATCATATCAGTCATTATAAGAATAATTCTTAAAGGTATAAATTTGATGTTATTTCATTTCTGGGACCAATAAATTAACTATATTAGGGAATATTTCAGCCTGAATGGGTCCGTATTCTACAACTTCGCCATCCACAGTAAGATAACCGCTAGATCCCTCTTCCGGGACTATTCTAAACGCACTTACCGGGATCATCTTAATGTATTCACTATTCATATCGACATGTGCACCCTGTCCCACACCAAGTAGAAAAGATAGAAGTTGAGATCGTGATATTCCAGCTTTGATTATCAACATCCATATAACGCCATCGGAGAGCTCAGAACGTGGTGCAAATAAAAAGTCCTCGCCTATATATGGTTGATAAGACACGTGGACCAGGACAAACTCACCCTCTTCTTGTACCCAATGTGATGGCAACTGTGACATTAAGGACGGCAGGTGAGAGGCGGGTCCGTGCATACAGGCATGGACTGGTGACCGCATTTCTGACCCACTGCTCGTCACGCTATGATACTCTGAACCACGTGTACTGAAGAACGCACTCCTCCGAGAATTAACAGAATACCACGAATCGACTCTTTGATGTTGTTTTCCATTAATCGCGTTTGTAAATACCTCAGTCGGTTCTTCGCAATCAATAAACGCTTCCGCATCGGGGGAGTCGAGCGCTCCGTCTTGGCTGATACTGTGGCTGAGGGTTAGCGGTTGTTTTGGTTTAGGCAAATTGCTCACATCCTTAATTTTCGCGTAACTCACTACACCTTTATATGTCCTCAGACCCACGAGTCTGGCAATTGCCCAAACGGCAAACCTCTGGCCGCCGATAGCTCGTAATCTTTCGCTTTCGATATCGATGTCTGATAGAAGGCCCCAGCCGACAGACAGGAACGAAAACATTATCTGTACGAAACAAGTATTTATATTTTTAACAACATTAAGATGCTAAAAAATCAAATTAATTCAAGGGGTCATTCAAGGGGTCAAAAGAACCTCTACTACATTGGCCTTTGAACAGATGACAATGGATTAGCGCGTAGAGGAGTGTTAAATTATAAAATAATAAGGTAGTGTAAATATCAACAGTACAACATGAACGTGGGTTTCATTATATCCGTGTCTCAACTCTCGAGCACTCCTTGTTTTGTTATTACGGACGTACTCAATTGAATGTTGTAACGTAACATATCCACCTGTTAGGGTTAGACCATATGTAACCATGTCACATCAATGTAGATATTAAACATAAATGCACATACTTACTTTACTCTTAGTTTCGATTCGTACGACATCCATTGGTGTCGTCTTGCCTTTTACTATACCCATAGTAATACCCGTTAAGTTTTGTGGAATGTATGGCTCACTGAAAATAAAGAAAATATTGTTTTGAGTGACGTCTAATAGATGCAGTTTAGGTCAGAAAAATATAGGGTAATCGTCAAACCGTAATAGATGATAATGTAGCACCAACCTTGTTGGCATAATTAGTAACTAAACGGAGACTGCTTATTACAGAAAACTAGTACTTCGTGTTTTCGTAATATTCCTCTTTTACAACTTGTGAATGTATCGTGGCAAAATCTCTAAATAAATCGGAAAATAGATACTAGCTGTAGAACATAATTATATATTATATTTATTCATTATTTAATCAGACATTGATGACGAACGGACCTAAATTACTATGTGTTAAGGAGTGTTAACAGTTCTCAACTCGGACTTAGAAAACCCCTAAAAGCAAAAAAAATAATTATTAAATCTCGTGTATCATTTGTATTTTAAGTCAACAAAGCAAATGAAACTTGTTGTGCACGAATCTGTATTTCTCACAAAATTGGCATGCTATGAATACGGCATCTGTTTTCCTATGTCCTGACAAACATCTTTCTAGACTTTCATCACATTTATAGATTGAGACATGCAGTGAGTGGTTTAGGTTCTTTGTTGTGAAAACAATTATGTCATGTGAACTTCATACATAGATTTTAGCATATCTCCAAATCTGCTACTCGTTTCAATTTAAACAAATTGAGTAATGTGAACGGCAACATCTATGTGCATTGTCTTTTATTGTTATTTCTGTAACATTACTAGTGAGAAAATGTCATATCAGTACGCATAAGGTCACAATCAACATTAGTCTTGTAGCAAAGCAAAGGCATTTTTTTATATAATTACTTATATATACTACATTACATATATTTTATTTTAATAATGCATGAGAAACTTTTTGTTAGATTCATACACATAATTTAACGCTAACATTCAACGCCATCTATCGAATTAAGATATAAACTCGAACTTATTTAAAGGTACCGTTTTTTTTCAGCTTACGTGGGAGACCTAAATACTATATTCCTTTAGCCGTGGACGGCGATATACTGATGTAGATTATACTCTGAACAGTTATGAATCTGGCAGCAAACGTGCCAGTAAAATGGGTTCGGCCGTTCCGGATAGTAGTATTTTATCATTTTCCCCGCTGGTCCCGCTCCGCCGCTCCTTCGCAAGCATAACTTGCTCACAGAAGGAAACGGCGAAGTCCCACGCGCTCGCTCAATGCCAAAGCCGCAATCATGGTACTAAACGGAAGAATTCCCACTCCGATGGCCGCTACGAGGTCCCGCCTCTGCTTATCCCGCGCCGGGCATTCTGCTAGCTTGTTGAGCACCGTGTCCACGGTCCGGCCTTCGCAGTGGTAACACTCAGGCGTTGACTCCTTGCGGATCAGACACAGGTGATAACCGAAGCATCCTTTCCCGGTGATCACCTGCATCAGCCTGTATGAGAGGTTCCCGAGCGCGAGTGGTAACGGCTCTTAGCGCCGCAATTACGGTGTGCCCGGCGCTTGGTTGCCTAAGTCGTTCCTTCCACTCCTGCACTATCACCTGGCGGAGTTGGGATCCCTCTCGAGTCTCAACACTCTGCCCGACTCCCGAACCTCCTTGCGCCACAGATACAGAGCCGCAAGGGCGGCCTCCACCTCCTACGGTGGAGTTCCGGCCAGGAGACTCGCCACCCCAAAGGAGGTCGTGCGCACCTTATGACAATAATAGCCAGCACTCGCTGCGGTCGTCGCAGTAGAGCGACGTTGCTGGTCTTCAGGGCCTCCGCCCATACTGGGGCCCCATAAAGAGCTATAGACTGCACAACCCCCGAGTAGAGCCTCCTAAAAGAGTCATCGGGTCATGTTGGGCAGCAGCCGCACCAATGCACACGCTGCTCCAAATTTCACAGGAACCCTAACATTTTCTGATTCAAAAGTAGCCAACTACTTTTTCAACTTACCGAACATAATGGAAGTTCTGGCGAATTAATACAATTATAAATGACGTGTCTAGTGTTAGTATTGTGCAAATAGACATATTAGTTTTGCAATGTCACACAGCAAGTTACTGATAACCTGTTTATATACAATGTTCAAGCTCGTGCATAACCGTGTAAAATGTAGAACAATGCGCAACAAATCCAAGTGACGTTCATATTACAATTTTTTCTTATCATAATAAATAACGAGCACTCCTAAAGGATTAGTTAGGCTACATGAATTGAAATTTTCTTTAAAACATGAATATTTTTTTAATTTTAAAAGAATATTTTTAACGAATGTTCACCTTATTTTAACACTTACGTAAATATTTCACAAAACTATTTTTAAGACCCTAGCCCATAAAACAATTAAAATAGCGTGTAACTTAATTTGAAAATTTTGAAATCTATGTAAATTTGGTCAGTTTGAATAAATTGTATCTTTACGTAAGTTTCTAAATAGTTAAAAGTGGCCTGTTCATGTTTAGCAGCAAAGAACAGAGTGATATTTTATGACTAATCTAATTACCAAACCAATACGGGCCAAACCGTAATCTTCGGTAAAGGCCGGCAGAGTCGCCACATTTTATAAATGCAAATAAAAATATTGGAATTATTTTCAAAATGTAGTCTTCAAGAATCCACTAAGGAACTTAAGGACCAATTGACAACCCTAGGTGTACCTGAGGTTGTTTCCAAAGAATGTTTTAAACTATCTTGTAAACTGTAACGCACCAGGTTCACCATCACTGAAATTAGTTTGCCTTAATTATTATGGTTTCTGTGGCCTTATATTATGAAACATCACTCAAACGATATTGAGCTGATCGGTTTGTGTGTGTGATAGTGATGAGCTATTCGATGAAATTATGATCAAACAGGGATTCCATGTCCTGAGCTGCTTATTACAACTTCTTGAAATTTGGCTTAGCAAAAAATCACTGCAGATGTATGTAAGGACAAGAACTAGCCCTCTAAAAAGAGATATAATAGTAAATGATAATTATTTTTAGGAAAGGTTGGAATCGTTACATATTGCCTCACTAACACTATCATTTTAGGTTACTTAACCGTATAAATAACTTTATTAGTGTGCCATTTACGCTCTTACGCTTCAGATAATCGTCAGCACAGATTTGAAAGTTAGCTATTTGATACAACAACAATAATACAAAAACCACCCTGTGCCTGTACAATCTGTACATACTGTCTTTTTGTGTCACAATTATCTCAAACATTCAATATATCTCATCAATATATATAATTCAGTATATCCCTTAAAATAAAAACGGGTTATTAGTGTACTGACATAATAATTCCGAGCGATCTAGCGATCTACTCTTTTCACTTTTGTTAATCTTCAAGCCACTTGCTCCGAGGTCGAGTGATAAGAAACTTTAGTTTCAAGTTTAATTTAAATTACTTAGTATTAGTGCTTTGTGGGAAAATTAAAAAGCCCACTGAGGGTTCCGTACAATTTATAGGTACCGAGTCTCGATTCCACCAGTTTCCAACCCTATAATTACTTATATTATTGTGTTGTATAAGTGAAATTGTACCTCGATAATTAATCATATTTTTCGGACTTCTGACACACAATGCAATCTAGTTTCAAACTAAGCAGCGCTTGTATTATAAAAGCTAGATTGACTGATGGAATACTTATTTACTTTTTTGTAAATTTATACATTTTACACACATGAAATTGATTACGTACTTTAAATAAAGACTATACTTTTTTATGATTTAACTACAGATGTTGTAACATTTCAGATTTTTCCCTGTACTTGTAGTATAAAAAGATTTTACTTGCCAAATTTCATAGCTCTAGGTTAACTGGAAGAAGTCTATAAATTTTGATTCCTTTGAGTGTCGAAATATTCGTTTTTGCGGTATAAACGGCCGTATTTTTTTAGTAAGTAGTAAGTTTGATTTTTTCACAGCTTCAAAGGACTGTAGACCTGAGTATACGGTTTTAATTTCAACTCGAAAGAGAATATTATTATTGACAGACGGACAGACATATAGTCGGATAACAAAGGGATTGATGTGATTATAATTTCAGTTTGCTGAAGACATCCCCTTGAAAAATACTATATCTAAAAGTATTGTATGCTTGTATCTCTTTGTATAAGTAGGTAAGTTTATAACGTATATCATTCTATATACCTACTATATTTACATATCGTTGTTGATAACGAAAATATTGTTTTTTTTATATGTGAAACATATAACCTTCGAATATTAACCTTCCTTCTGTTTTCTCTGCTTCGCACTTTGATGTATTTTATATATCAATGGCTTCCTCCGAAGGTTGAGTGGGAGAGAACACCTAAAGCATTAAGCCCAGCTTTGTACTGTAAGTGGATTAAGATTCAATATATAAAGGCCACAGCGCGTAACAAACGAACATTCAACAGAACTACAATTAAAAAAATCAATCTGATACTTTTTCCCCTTTCACTTTAACCTTAGTTCATAAAAAGTAATGTCTAGAGTCAGTATTTAGTGGCTGATAACTGCTTAGCCTAAACCTTAAGAAATAGACATTTGGACTAAGTGATTATAATAATTAGATATCTACATTTCATTTAATATACAAATAAAATAAAAATAACTACACGGTTCCTAACTAATAGCCAAGAAATACCCGATATTGGGCATCGTCCTAATCGACCCTAATAAGTACTCATTGTTATAAAGCACTTGATCCTATTTTGTAGATTACATGTAATGGATATAAAGTAAAAGTAAAGTAAAGTAAATATTTATTTTCCAAAGTTACAACAAATACATACATGAAAGTAGTTATACAAAACTGAGAAACAGACAGTGGTTTGGAACACTGATACCCATAGTAAGATCTAACTTGTGTTATGGGTATCAGGCACAGCAAATAAATAACATTCTAGTAGCGTTAATTCGTACATTTACATTTTATTATTTTACAAGAAAACGTTCAAATTTTCAAATAACGTGAACAAATACAAAAATTCATATATCATGTGTGTGTATGTATGTATATGATGTGTGTGTGTGAGTCAGTGTGTGTGT